TTGGGCCCAGCCTCCTGCACCCGCGGACGCCTCTGCCTGCCGCCCGGCCCAGCCTCCGGCTTTTAAAGCCCAGGAGCTGCAGGAGGGGGAGGGAGGTGTGGGGGAGAGGATGGCGGAAATGGCTGCGCTGGGCCAGGCCCCAGCCGGGGTCTCCTGGGAGGGGTCTTGGGGGTGCCGCGGCCCCTTGCTTGTGTGGAGTTCCCTCGGGAGGCTCCGGGAACGGAGGCCCAGCGGACTGCAGCATTGTCGGGGGTGGGGAAGAGGTGGAAACAGGCCTGGGACCCACGAGCCCCAACCTGGGACCGTAGGGGAAGGAACGCAGGGCGGACCCCAGAATGATCCGGCCAGCCTAGCTTTCGGGTGTGGAGGCGAGGGATCTGCGGGGGCAGGTGGGGGAGGCGGGAGGCAAAGGCGCGAATGCTGAGGCAGCGAAAGTGCAGTGTGGAAGAGCTGCGTGCGCCCTGTGCCGCAGTGTCTCGCTGCCACTCGGTCACCCGGGCTGACCCCGTGCCCGCCAGAGAGGCCTCCTCCACCCCCGCCTTTCTCCCAAGGGGCGGAGGTCGAGCGCAGCGGCGACGCAGCCAGCAGGGTGTGAAGGGGGAGAGGGGCTGCTATGACCTTGCTCTAGAAATTCGGGTTCATTGGTGGTTTTCCGCCCTTCCGCGTTCCTTCAGCTCCCCAAAGCGGTCCCGCAACCAGGCGGATAACCCTTCCCCCGGCAGCCCGCCCCGAGCTTGGACCCCCCCCCATTGACGTCAGGCCCAGCGGCCAATGGCAGGCGAGGGGATGCGGGGAGTTCCGGGCTGCACAATGGCCGCGCGCGGGGACATATGTCCCCAATTAGGACCCGGCACTCCATTGTCCCCTCACCCGCCCCCGCCCGGTGGTTCGGGTCTCCACGCTGAGAGCGCGCCCCCACGCGGCCCGTCGTCTCTGGGACCAAGGTTGCAGGGTTGGCTCCCAGGAGTGTCCGGGTGCGTCTGAGCAGGGAGCGCGCTCAAGGCGAGGGCGCGCGCGCTCCCGTCTTTGCACGCGGTGACCTTGTGCGGGGCGGCAAGGCGGGCCCGCGGACATTGGCCAAGGGCGCGCCTACGGGGGCGTGCCGGGAGTGCTGAGATCAGGG